TGCTACCTAACACGAGCACAAAGCTGCGTCTCCGTAATCAACACCCACTCTCACCATATTGTGAGAGTCTCAATTACAACGTGTGGGCAAAACTCCAACAAAGGGAGCCCTGCGATCTCCAGTCCCCAGAACCGAATCCGGCTGGGCCAGTGGTATTCCCGCCCGGGCCACGAACCCGGCCTTCCCCGCGCGGCGCGCACCGGCCGGGAGGACGGGAGGACGGCAGGCGGCGGGGGTGGCGGCGGGGCGGGAGGACGACCCGGCCGGGCCGCGGGGGCGGTGCCGATGTGTCAGCGCCGGGCGGGCCGCGGCTCGGGGTGGGGGGCGGGAGCCTGGACCCCCCGCCGGCCCGGCACGCCCCCGGCCCCCGCCCGGGCAAAGTGCAGCGCGGGCCGGTAAACAACCGCGCGGGAGCCGCGGGCACCGACCGCTCGCCCTTCCGGCGGACGCGGCCACTTCCAGGAACAGGGGCGCGGACGCCCCCGGCAGGCCCGCGCTGCGCCCCGGCCCGAGAGCGGCCGCGGGCCTCGCCGCCGCCCGCGGACCCGCCCCGCCGCCCTCGGCCGCGCGGGCCACCCCGGGAAAGGCGGCAGGACGGCCGAGCCACTCACCAGAGCCCAGGCGCCGCGCACGCCGCGTGACGGCGGCGAGCGAGCCCGGCGGGCGGCGCGGGCAGCGGTCAGGTGACTCACTCGCTCCGCGCGGCCGGCGGCCCCCGACCCTGCCTCCCTCCTTCCCTCCCCGCGCGAGGCCCCCAGCAGAGGCCCCGCCCCCGCGAGGCGCGGGCCGCGAGCCGGCGGGGTCGGCGCGGCCGAAGCCCGCGGGCGCTTTCAGGGAACGCCGCGGGCGGGGCCGGCGGGCCTGGAGGCTGCGGCGGAGTCCCCCTGCCTCCGCGTGGAGCGCCCCTTCCGACACCGCCGCCTCCTGGACGGGCGACGCCCCGGACACCCTCCTTGCCCGGTGAGGGCGGAAAGGCAGGGCTGACGACGGCCCCTCGCCCGGTGTCCGGGACCCCCTAACCCAGCCAAGCCGACCAGGAGGGAGCACGGGCGCGCCCACGGCCTGCACAGGGTCGCCCTGGCCCCTCGGCAGAGCGCCTGGTCTGCCTTCCCAGGTGGTGGCCGGCGCCCGAGCGCCCAGGTATCCGAGCTTACTGACCGGGATGGTCAGTGCATGCAGGTTTTTGTAGACGGCTCTGGGCAACCCTCTGCTGTGCGGCAGTGACACAAGGGCGCCTGACAGGTGTTCCTTCACGCTGTACCTGCCGGGGAGTTCCAGCCAGGTGGGGCCGCGGCGCGGTCAGCCGGCCGGCCCGAGCCCCGCGTGCGCTTTCGTCCAGTTGACAGTTTTAAAGTTGTTTCCCCACGCCGTTTAACGTTACCTCTGTAGTTTATTAAGCACGTCTCTCTGCGGACAGGGATGGGACACAAGACAACCTCTATCCGAGTTCCTGGGCAGGAGCAGCCCCCTGAGGCCTGTGGCCTTGGATGATCTGTGTGAAAGGATTTTGTTGTTGGCTTTGGGATTCAAGTGAGAGAGATGAAGAAAAATTGGGGCTGAACAGCAGCAGCCCCAAAGAGTATGTACACATTCTTGAATACAGAAGTCAGCCCTCGATCTCCCAGAGCAAAAAAAAGACCAAAAAAAAAAGGCTACCAAAATAATAAATTCAGGTATTATCACTAATGTGGCTGTATTTTTTACCACAGGCTGTGGGACTTTGGGACATTTGGGTTACATCCAAAATGCATGAGAAATGACATCAGTGAAATTGGATGGGAGGGCAACGTGATACACTGTGACTTAGAATCAGAGGAGGCTTCCTGAAGGAGGTAACATTTGTATTGGGTCAATGGGGCCCAGCAGTCCAGGAAGGGTCCAGAGGTAGGAAGCAGATGGCATCCTAGGTTGCCTGAGTTCATGGTGGGAGTACCATATTTAGCGAAAAATGAGGAAAGGAACTGGGAATAGAGCGTGAAAGAAGGATTGGGTTCTTACAGAACTGTGAGAGTTTCTGAGTTCACTCTTCTTCAACCTGAACCGATAGAATATATATTCTTCTTTTTCCACACACCTGCGCAGTTTTTCTAGGGGAAAATAGACACACACACACACACGTCTGAGAGGAACTCTTGCTTCTTTACTGTAGATAATGGTGATGACATTTTCTAGCCTGAAAATGATGACATATATACCCTGATATATTTAATTATTTAACAAGTTCTTACAAAGGTATACCAAGATGTTGAGACTATCAAGGCAGTTAGGAATGACTCTCAAACTTCGGAGTGCATTGGAATATCTGGGTGCTTTTAAAATGCAGGTTCCTGGGTCCTGCGCCCCTAGATTCTAATTTTGTAGGTCTGAGTGGGACCTAAGGATCGCCATTTTTAATACTGTGGAGATGGTCTTTAGGTCAAGAAGTACTTTAAGAAGTACTTAAGTTAGAGTTTATGGATGTCATACTAGGGGTAGAATGGAAAATGAAATTAGAAAATGAAACAAAACCAAGTCAGAATGGGAAAGGCCTCATGCACTGTGCCTACAGTTTGGACTTTATCCCATAGGCTGAAGGGAGTAAGTAGAAGTCTTTAAGTCATGTGATTGTTTTTAAAAGCTAATTCTAGTATGGAGAAGTAATGAACAGGGGGAGGGGAAGCATTGCAGGTTGAACAAAAGAATGAATGAATGATGATGCAGTAAAACACTCAGTAAATGATGTGGCACTTTTTGTTTTCAGTATTCTCTTACTTTAAACAAAAACCACTTAGAATATCTTTCTTTTAAAGCCTGAATATCATTGCAAATATTCACAAGCGACTTTCTGTTCTGACCTATGCCTTCTGAACTTTCAGAGTTAGCATTAACATTATTAGCTGCCAGGCCAACAAAACCTTAAGTAATCCTACTACACTCAGAATCAAGAAAAGAATCTACTTAATTGGTCAACTGTTAAGAATACCACCCTCAAGATCTTTTACATTAACTCACATATTTATTAAAATATCTTGATAAAACATATTTTTAAAAATTATCTTGAGGTTATAATGAGACATAGTACCTCTGCCCAATTCCTATTTTGAAAAAGAAACTTTAAGATTCTGGGACAAAAAAAAAATTATGATTGCTTTTAATTGATATTGATAGTAGTTTGAAACTGGGAAAATTAGCCTAGTAGTGCAACGTGAAGATTCTGTGCTACTGTTTCACAGTGATTTGCAATTAGCAATTCTTTGTCACATAGTTTTGTTTTTAGTGCATTATTTTTTAGGAGGATTTATCCATGAAGAATGGGAATCACAGCTTATCGATATGCCTTTGACTCACACTTCGCATTAAATATGAGAAGTGATAACAAATTTTTCTGCTGGGAGCAGTGTTTGTCAATATGCAGCACTGCTCCCAAAATGTTATATATGTACCATGTGGCATTTCTTTCAAAAAGGATATTCCCTTTTCAAAATTTTTCCCAACATATTCTCCTTCTAGTCATCATACTGATTTTATCACAAAAATAAAATCTTATCATTAAATTAACTCTGAGAACAATTTAAATAACTATAGGCCACAAGTCAGGGAATGATTAATAAAAGCTAGAAGTATACACTTTTTAATAAAAGCTAGAAGTATACACTATTATTTTCTCCTCCAGTAACAATCATATCGCCTTGCCTGACTCTCAAAATTGAGAGAGCCAAGTTACATAGATAGGTGACATGTCAATGGCTGTAAGGAACAATATGGCATAAAGTTTGAGCAATAAGACATGATGCATATCCTAGGAAAACCTTAATGTGCATCACTGTAACTTTTGTCCCCCCTCTCCTCCCCTTCCTAACCTCAGGAAAGATACACAAATCCACATTTATCCCCTAGCCACCCTTAGTTTTGTATCTTCCTTTCCACAGATGCAACATGACAACTATAACCCCTACACATCTTTATACTTCTACTGCCTCCCCAGAGCTTCATTCACTCCATCACTGTAGCTCCTTTTGTCTTTAAATATTCACTCACTAATTCAACCAACAAAATTGGGGTGAGGCGAAAATCAGCAAGAAAAAATCAAATAACCCTATTAAAAAGTGGGCAAAGGACTTGAACAGAAACTTTTCTAAAGAAGACAGAAGAATGGCCAACAAACATGAAAAAATGCTCAACATCTCTAATCATCAGGGAAATGCAAATCAAAACCACATTGAGATATCACTTACCTCCAGTGAGAATGGCCTTTATCAAATAGTCTCCAAACAATAGATGCTGGCGTGGATGTGGAGAGAGGGGAACATTCCCACACTGCTGGTGGAACTGCAAACTAGTTCAACCTCTGTGAAAAGCAATATGGAGATACCTTAAAGCGATACAAGTGAATCTACCATTTGATCCAGCAATCCCATTGCTGGGCATCTACCCAAAAGATCCAATTGCCTGAGTTCATGGTGGGAGTACAAATATTTAGCGAAAAATGAGGAAAGGACACTTGGGAATAGAGCGTGAAAGAAGGATTGGGGTTCTTACAGAACTGTGAGAGTTTCTGAGGCTTCACTCTTCTTCAACCCTGAACCGATAGAATTATATTCTTTTTCCACACACCTGCGCAGTTTCTTCTAGGGGGAAAAAGACACACACACACACACACACGTCTGAGAGGAACTCTTGCTTCTTTACTGTAGATAATGGTGATGACATTTTCTAGCCTGAAAATGATGACATATATACCCTGATATATTTAATTATTTAACAAGTTCTTACAAAGTTATACCAAGATGTTGAGACTATCAAGGCAGTTAGGAATGACTCTCAAACTTCGGAGTGCATAGGAATATCTGGGGTGCTTTTTAAAATGCAGGTTCCTGGGTCCTGCGCCCCTAGATTCTAATTTTGTAGGTCTGAGTGGGACCTAAGGATCGCCATTTTTAATACTGATGGAGATGGTCTTTAGGTCAAGAAGTACTTTAAGAAGTACTTAAGTTAGAGTTTATGGTGTATACTACGCCGCGCGGGCCGGGGCCCGGCGGGCCTGGAGGCGGCGGCGGAGTCCCCCTGCCTCCGCGTGGAGCGCCCCTTCCCCGACACGGCCCGCCTCCTGGACGGGCGAGACGCCCCGGGACCACCCCTCCTTGCCCGGTGAGGGCGGAAAGGCAGGGCTGACGACGGCCCCCTCGCCCGGTGTCCCGGGACCCCCTAACCCAGCCAAGCCGACCCAGGAGGGAGCACGGGCGCCGCCCCACGGCCCTCCACAGGGGTCGCCCCTGGCCCCCTCGGCAGAGCGCCTGGTCTGCCTGCCCAGGTGGTGGCCGGGCGCCCGAGCGCCCCAGGTATCCGAGCTTACTGACCGGGACGCGTCAGGTGCATGAAGGTTTTTGTAGACGGCGTCTGGGCAACCCTCCTGCTGTGCGACAGTGACACAAGGGCGCCCACTGACAGGTGTTCCCTTCACGCTGTACCTGCCGGGGAGCTTCCAGCCAGGTGGGGCGCGCGGCGCGGTCAGACGGCCCGGCCCGAGCCCCGCGTGCGCTTTCGTCCTCTGGCGAGTCCCCAGTTGACAGTTTTAAAGTTGTGTCCCCACGCCGTTTAACGTTACCTCTGTAGTTTAAAGCACCGTCTCTCTGCGGACAGGGATGGACACAAGACAACCTTATCCGAGTTCCTGGGCAGGTAGCAGCCACCCTGAGGCCTGTGGCCTTCGGATGATCTGTGTGAAGGGATTTTGTTGTTGGCTTTGGGATTCAAGTGGAGAGAGATGAAGAAAAATTGGGGGCTGAACAGCAGCAGCCCCAAAGAGTATGTACACATTCTTGAATACAAGAAGTCAGCCCTCGATCTCCCAGAGCAAAAAAAAGACAAAAAAAAAAAGGCTACCAAAATAATAAATTCAGGTATTATCACTAATGTGGCTGTATTTTTACCCACAGGCTGTGGGACTTTGGGACATTTGGGTTACATCCAAAATGCATGAGAAAATGACATCAGTGAAATTGGATGGGAGGGCAAGGTGATACACTGTGACTTAGAATCAGAGGAGGCTTCCTGAAGGAGGTAACATTTGTATTGGGTCAATGGGGCCCAGCAGTCCAGGAAGGGTCCAGAGGTAGGAAGCAGATGGCATCCTAGTTGCCTGAGTTCATGGTGGGAGTACAAATATTTAGCGAAAAATGAGGAAAGGACACTTGGGAATAGAGCGTGAAAGAAGGATTGGGGTTCTTACAGAACTGTGAGAGTTTCTGAGGCTTCACTCTTCTTCAACCCTGAACCGATAGAATTATATTCTTTTTCCACACACCTGCGCAGTTTCTTCTAGGGGGAAAAATAGACACACACACACACACCCGTCTGAGAGGAACTTTTGCTTCTTTACTGTAGATAATGGTGATGACATTTTCTAGCCTGAAAATGATGACATATATACCCTGATATATTTAATTATTTAACAATTTCTTACAAAGTTATACAAGATGTTGAGACTATCAAGGCAGTTAGGAATGACTCTCAAACTTCGGAGTGCATAGGAATATCTGGGGTGCTTTTTAAAATGCAGGTTCCTGGGTCCTGCCCCCCTAGATTCTAATTTTGTAGGTCTGAGTGGGACCTAAGGATCTCCATTTTTAATACTGATGGAGATGGTCTTTAGGTCAAGAAGTACTTTAAGAAGTACTTAAGTTAGAGTTTATGGTGTATACTAGGGGTAGAATGGAAAATGAAATTAGAAAATGAAACAAAACCAAGTCAGAATGGGAAAGGCCTCATGCACTGTGCCTACAGTTTGGACTTTATCCCATGGGCTGAAGGGAGTAAGTAGAAGTCTTTAAGTCATGTGATTGTTTTTAAAAGCTAATTCTAGTATGGAGAAGAATGAACAGGGGGGGAAGCATTGGGTTGAACAAAAGAATGAATGAATGATGATGCAGTAAATATACTTTTTGTTTTCAGTATTCTCTTGCTTTAAACAAAACACCTTAGAATCTTTCTTTTAAGCCTGAATATCATTGCATAATTTCAAAGCGACTTTCTGTTCTGACCTATGCCTTCTGAACTTTCAGAGTTAGCATTAACATTATTAGCTGCCAGGCCAACAAAACCTTAAGTAATCCTACTACACTCAGAATCAAGAAAAGAATCTACTTAATTGGTCAACTGTTAAGATACCACCCTCAAGATCTTTTACATTAACTCACATATTTATTAAAATATCTTGATAAAACAATTTTTAAAATTATCTTGAGGTTATAATGAGACATAGTACCTCTCTCATCCTATTTTGAAAAAGAAACTTTAGATTCGGGACAAAAAAAATTATGATTGCTTTTAATTGATATTTGATAGATTTGAACTGGAAAATTAGCCTAGTAGTGCAACGTGAAGATTCTGTGCTACTGTTCGCAGTGATTTGCAATTAGCGATTCTTTGTCACATAGTTTTGTTTTAGTGCATTATTTTTTAGGAGGTTTATCCATGAAGAATGGGAATCACAGCTTATCGATATGCCTTTGACTCACACTTCGCATTAATATGAGAAGTGATAACAAATTTTTCGCTGGAGCAGTGTTTGTCAATATGCCACTGCTCACCAAAATGTTATATATGTACCATGTGGCATTTCTTTCAAAAGGAATTCCCTTTTCAAAATTTTCCCAACATATTCTCCTTCTAGTCATCATACTGATTTTATCACAAATAAATCTTATCATTATTAACTCTGAGAACAATTTAAATAATATAAGGCCCACAAGTCAGGGAATGATTTTTTAATAAAAGCTAGTATACACTATCATTTTCTCCTCCAGTACATCTCGTCCTTGCCTGACTCTCAAATTGAGAGAGCCAAGTTACATAGAGTAGGTGACATGTCAATGTGTAAGGAACAATATGGCATAAAGTTTGGGCAAGGAAGAATGGTATCCTAGGAAAACCTAATGCATCACTGAATTACTGTGTCCCCCCTCTCCTTTCCTAACCCTCAGGAAAGATACACAAATCCACATTTATCCCCTAGCCACCCTTAGTTTGTATCTTCCTTTCCACAGATGCAACATGACAACTATAACCCTACACATCTTTATTAACTTACTAGCCCCCAGAGCTTCATTCACTCCATCACTGTAGCTCCTTTTGTCTTTAAATATTCACTCACTAATTCCAACCACAAAATTGGGGTGAGGCGAAAATCAGCAAGAAAAATCAAATAACCCTATTAAAAAGTGGCAAAGGACTTGAACAGAAACTTTTCTAAAGAAGAATGGCCAACAAACACGAAAAAATGCTCAGCATCTCTAATCATCAGGGAAATGCAAATCAAAACCACGTTGAGATATCACTTACCTCCAGTGAGAATGGCCTTTATCAAATAGTCTCCAAACAATAGATGCTGGCATGGATGTGGAGAGAGGGGAACATTCCCACACTGCTGGTGGAACTGCAAACTAGTTCAACCTCTGTGGAAAGCAATATGGAGATACCTTAAAGCGATACAAGTGAATCTACCATTTGATCCAGCAATCCCATTGCTGGGCATCTACCCAAAAGATCCAATGACACTCTACAAAAAGACACCTGCACTGAATGTTTATAGCAGCACAATTCATAATTGCAAGGCTGTGGAAGCAGCCCAAGTGCCCATCATCCAAGAATGGATTAATAAAATGTGGTATATGTATATCATGAAGTACTATTCAGCTCTAAGAAACAACGGTGATATAACACATCTTATATTTTCCTGGTTAGAGGTAGAACCCATACTACTAAGTGAAGTATCCCAAGAATGGAAAAACAAGCACCACATATACTCACCAGCAAACTGGTATTAACTGAGCAGCACCTAAGTGAACACATAGGTACTACAGTAATAGGGTATTGGGCAGGTGGAGGGTGAGGGGCGGTATATACATACATAATGAGTGAGATGTGCATCATCTGGGGATAGTCATGCTGGAAACTCAGACTTGTGGGGGGAGGGGAGAAGAAACTTAAAATCAGTACCCCCATAATATGCTGAAATAAAAAATAAATAAATAAATAAAAATAAAAAATAAATACATAATTGGGGTGAGGGACAAAAAACTAAGGTTTAAACTGTGGGGAATTACGAAGATAAAATAACATAGGTCTCCCCAACTTAAAAAACTGCCATTTGACGCCTCTTCCCTCAAAGGTGATTATGGATTGAAATAGCACTCCTGCCCCCAGGTTAGAAGGTTGTTATGGAAAATGAACATATATTATTAGAAGACAATGATAACCTGGAGCAGGACAGGTAAACACACTGCAGTGTTTACCTGATAATTGAAATGAATGATAAGGTGAAGAGAATGTAGTCTCTGGTTTGAGATGTTACAAAGTCTAAGATCAAGATGAAAGGGAAAACAGATAATATTGGAACAGAAGAACTCAGTGAGATGGCCCAAATGGGCAAAAGAGATACTGCTCAAATACCAGATTTAATGACAACCAAAGTGGCTCAAATATGGAAAAATTCTGATGCTTTTGAAATCCAGTAGGAGGCTGTAGTGGACTAAAGATGGCCATAAATTTTTTTGTCATTCTCCCTGTCAAGAATGGGAGTTAATTTTCCATCTTCTTGAACCTGGCCCTATGACTGCATAGCCAAGAAAACACTGCAGAAATGATGCTATGCCATTTCTGGATTCTGGTAGCTTCCACTTCCTCTTTCTTCAGATGATCTCTCTTGGCACACTCCCTCCCAGAATCAAGCCACCATGCTTCGAGAGACCCAGTATGGAACATGTATAGCCTCTCCACTCAGGAACCCCACCAGAGCAACCAGCCAATGGTCAAAATCAAATACAGTCATGTGAGTGAGCCATCTTGGATGTTCTCTGGCCTAGTCAAGTTTATACAAAAGAACCTTCCAGCTGAGCCCAGCCAACTCATAGAATTATAAAATAATAAAATGGTTAATGCTTTAAGCCATTAAGTTTGGGAATATTTTTATATATGGCAATAGATAACCAAAATAGAGGTTAAAGAAAATATCTAATGATAAAATAGAGCATGAAAATGGAATTAAATTTAAAGAAGAACCACAACCCCAATGATCAAGATTTAGAGGAAAGCTAAGGTAAATAGAACAGAAAAAACATGAAGAGACTTGAATTTTAAACCTCTGTCAAGCTCCTAGAGCTGAAATGACACTTCAGATTTTCTTCAATTACAAATTCATTGTGCTCCAAACTTTGTCAGGTGTTATCGGGAGCTCAGCTGTCTCACTGGGGAGCCATGGTTTGGCTGTGGCTGTATTCCTCTACCAAAGGCTCCAGCTCCTGCCAGGCAACCCTCACCTAGGATGATAGCCAAAGCAACCTCACTCAGTGTGAAGATGCCTCTTCACTTCTGCCAGACCCAAGGTGTGTCACCTCCTTGGTAAGTTCCTGCCTTCAACCTTGTAAGTGGTCCCATCTGTTTCCTGCCAGTTCCCTAACTGATTCATCAGGTTGAGCCTTGGGGGTAACCAGAGTGAATATGCTAACACATCTAAGGAAAGAATGTGATTATCACAAAAGAAGAGCAAGAAAAGGGAGAGTCAGAGGTACAAACAGGGGTAATACATCCCTTGCCCTGCTTAGGGGTGAGGGTGTATGGCCAAGGACAGTATTTTAACCTACCCTAATCATAACCACAACCCCAAACCCTGTTACCTGCAGGATATGTGCGGGGACATGGGGAGGATCACAGTGCAGGATACCATGGCTTGGTTCTACTAGATTACCCATCAAGGTCTTCACACTCACATCCCTCTTTGATATCGTTCTACTAATTATTTGGCTCCACGTGTACCTTTGCCTATAGAAAGAGATAGGTTGGTGAGTAAGCATCAATATTTGATATACTTGTTGTCTGTT